TATTGCTTTTTTAAGTGCTCCTTGCAGCCCTGTGGCGACGTGTCTGGATTATAACACGGACCCGGTTTCTCAACAGGCCCCAGCCGACGCTTCAAGCGTGTGGTGGAGACCATCCAGGCCCAGTTGCTCAGCTCCAACGACCAGCCTGGCATCCAGCCACAGATATCCGGTAAGTGGAGTCCCTCGCCACTCGTCCTCGACCACGCCTACAACCCCCACCCTCCACGCCCTCACGACCTCCCTCCCTCCTCGCATCACAGCACAGCCACACCCGCGGCCCACCTCGGCTCAGCTTAGCCCGGCGCACTGCTTTTAGCACACGGCATTTCCACGTGCATGTCCCTGCCACATACCATGGTGTGCACGTCAACACACCAGCACACACACACAGTCGACATGGCAGCGTTATGTATGAGATGTATATACGCAGGACTGATTACAGCCACTAAGAAGTGTATCTCAAACTGTAAATAATTCAACATAGACTCTGACCTCACACTTGACTCAGCAGAAACACACTCTCTCTCTCACACACACACACACACACAAGCAAACTGTAGGTTCGGCTAATGGATGTTTACAACTGTTCATTTGTGGATTAGCTGCTTGTGCATGCAGCATTTTCGTCTGCAAGAAGGAGAAAAGTACATTTGTCTGATTAGTGTCAATAACACGCTGGAACAATCCCACAATTCTTTCAAACCTTTGATGTGATTGGGACGTTCGCCATTATTTTGGGGGGCTGCCTATATATAGATGGAAACATTAGGGGAAAAATATGGAAGAAAAGAAAGTCTGTGTTCTCCAGCTGTCCGTGTTAGTTTCGTTTGTCCGTGTGGTATCCTGGTGGTCTTCCTCTTGTTTTATCTGTGGTTATTTACTTGATAATGGTCCCCTCTTGTGGTGAAGCAGAGAAATTACAACCTGACCTTAGCGTCACACACAGGAGCACTGACACGTAAAAGTAGTTTTGAAATGGATGATCCTGCCAAACAGCCAGTCACCATCATTATTGTGAAAGATGTCCACCTGCAGGAATCGCACACTCAGCTTAAAGGACCCACTATCAACAGTTACTGCCACAGATGGGAACTGCTATCACGCACTGTATGCACAGCCTCAGTCGCTTCCACCATTATGTAGATGTGCCAATGAGCCACATCTCTCTCTCTTTCTTATCTCTCTGTCTCTCTCCCTTTGGCCTGCCTCTCCATGTCACCCAGCTTCTGTCATCCACAGCTTCCTCTAAAGCCTCGTGGATGATTTGAATGGCTCGCATGCTGAATGAAAGCCCAGAACCATGCACATTCACACACATACGCGCAGTTTTGCAAACTGGCCTCTTTGCTGGGGAAAGCCAGCGTTTTCATACTGTTTCTCACGAATGTGTCTCGATGGTTCTGGGTGAGCTGCCATTCACACACACACTCACACACGTGACTGATACTAAAATGAAAGCATGCTCTACAGTGTGTGTCCAACAAACATGTATGTGATATGGTGTGTGTTGATCTCTGTGCAGCAGGAAGAAGGCAAATCTGCATGTGTGATAAAATGTGCTAAACCCCTGACAGCTGTAATGACGTCAGTCTTCTGTGTGTATCTGTATATATGCAAGGTTGTGGAAGGTGAATGTGAATGTTCAGCCTATTTCTCACTTTCTTGCTGATAAACAGCTACAGAGGAGCAAGTTTCTCCCTGTGGTTGTTTAGTTTGGCCCCACAGTGGTGATGATGATGATGAT